TGATTTCAAATGGTTCATTAACTGACTTCGATTTATGATGAAATCTAACTTATAATTAGTTATATTCTTATAAACCAACGTTTATAATTTTGAAGTGTTTTTCAGTCGGCATACTTTTACATAGGAAGAAAGGAGTAATGTATTGGTAATATTCACTGATGCATAAGTAGCATAAACAATAATAGGAATATACCTCTAATTTACTTTTCATTTCTTCTATACCAAGTGGAAAATAAAACTTCAAAACTTTGGATTTTCAGTAGCGATGGTGTGGGGTCGCTAATCTGAAGCCCAATCTTTCCCCTTTTCGGAGAGTTTGTGCGCTAGTTGAGAACGGAGCCTGAAGTTCCTGCTTGGTTGGCGGGTGTACTACTACTGAACCGCCGACCCCTACATCAATTTTACTGAGACTGAAACAAAATTCAGCGAGATCAACATAGAAAAACTCCTATGACAAAGTGTTATAATCGAAATAATATAATTTATTTCTTATTATTAAGGGACAGTAATCATTACTCTTGATTTAATTGGAACGATACTAAAAAAATCACTTAAGCGTTGTATTGTATGGGGAAACAGCATAGACAAGAGTTGGCAGAATGTGCAGATATAATCCACCTACAGACAATTTCAATCAGTGCAGCTGCACAATTGCATTGGCTTATTTACCTCTTCTCTCTTTAATACACTATGTAGCAAACACGTGATAATTACATTTTACTAGTCGAACTACTTCAGTTTCTTGACGACATCATATACCTTAAGTAACCAATGACATGATGATTTATAGATTTCGGGTTTTATCACGAGTTGACATCAGTGAGGGAAACATTCGAAAACCTAGGAATACTGGAGGGCTGTTTCATCCTAGTTTGGGACTCCTCATCAGTACGCACCCATGACACACCACCAATGATCGAATCCAAAACTTTCCGGTTACAAGGGAAACTCATTGACTATTTAGTCACTGGAGCGCGATCTAATGGCCCGTGAATTCCAACTTCTGTCAATTCGCGATACATATGTATATATATGTAGCGCAGCTCGCCCAAGATATACTGCAAAATGACAGAAGTTGGAATTCATGGGCCATCGGGTTGGGGTCTAGTGACTTAATGGTCTACGAGCTCGCCTAGAAGGTTCTCGGTTCGAAACCCAGTGGGTGCGTACTTCAGATAAAGAGTCCCAAACTAGGACGAAACGACTGTCCAGTACTCCCTGGTTTTCCAATGGTTCTCTAACTGATGTCAACTCATAATCAGACCTCCAACCAACAAGATCTCTGCAAATCAACACTTAATGATTCACAGTAGTATGCACAGCGGGATTCAAAATTACGACGCATTTGGATGGAAGTTGAGCATCTCTGTAGACGAATTATAGCTTCAAATCATGCTGTCTGAACCCAATTATATGGAAAAGACTTTTCATATACCTGACTATGAGCGCCGGCGATAATACCCAGTTGCAAGGCAAGGCTCAAACTCAGGAAATATTAGCTTCAAAATCATGAAATAACTTAACTTGAAAATAAGTTTATGTTACAACCCAAATCAAATATACAAGGACTTAACAAATTCGCTAAAGAAATGCAGGAATCAAGCATTGACTATAATATTACTCCATGACATAAATTTTGGAAATGTCAATACAGATATAAGACTTATTAAGATATATAAATCAAAGTCACCGTCAACGACCCAATCAACTTTGCGATCAAAATAATGAGTGAAAAAAACACTATTTCACTTCATGAAAACTGATACAATTACATATGTGATTGTTGTTGAACAAAAATGTAAAGAAAATGATGGAGGAAATATTATTGTGCAATTTATTCGAATAAATACAGACAATGAAAACTAAGTGCACAGGTAATACAGAATATTTTCAAAACGAAAACACACACACACAATACATACGTGACAAACTTTTTTTTATAATCAGAAATGTTCCCACGATTTCGGGTCCTTTTTACTTCAATGTCTCAAGATGCAAGAAACTGAAAACTTTTATTTTCGATAATAGTGTAGTGCTTATTGCATTTATAGCTATACAAACAATAAAATATTATATCTTAAGTAACACATGTTAGGAGTAAACAGAGAAAAGGTTTTCTGTTTGTTAGGATTCAATAGTAAAGCCTATCTTAAGTGAGGAAGAAACTCCTGCTCTCTCTCTTAAGTATCAAATCTGTATCACTCAGGATCAAGATCAAAAACTTTACCTGTCCGATTTATTATTTGAAAAAAACTGGTCACCTGATGATAACCAGCATGAATGTGTTGATAGCAATCTACTGATTACCAGGCTAAGGGAAGTGTTATTGTCGCCTACTGAAATGCGTTGTAGTGCGTATATTATACATTATAGTACATTATACTGTTGGGAAAAGTTAGTCAATAGGGAGGCATCAACTGCTACTCATCAACGAACATATTAAAAAGGCATGAATAAATACCAGTAAACACTTAAGACACGACAGCTTGATTCACAATCAGTATGTATATCGAAACACCTTATTCGTTTCCGTCAATTCCTGATACAATTACCAATCACATCCAGTCTTGTCGTAAAAATTAAAGAGTTGCTATCAATAAAGTCATTGAAGATAGTTATTTCTCACGAATTACCAAATAATTGACGGTAATCAAAATTATCTTTGATAAATTAGCAATACTCTTGGAATTCTGTGTCTCATCGCAGTGTGAAACAAGTAGGTTTCTTTATTAGTTTTATTAAGACGCCTTCCAAAAGGAGCAGACACCATACAATATACGGTGGTAATTATTTGCAAAAATCACAAATTAACTAACTAGCCGCAATAAGAAACAGTAATTACTGTGAATGATGTCATTAATCGGTCGGTCGGTTTTCGACATAGAACTTTGCACATATGTGCGGCAGTTCAAGTCGCCACACTCCATGTAGCACACAAAGCAAGAGAAGAAAGTAGAAGAAATGCATAATATAGACAGTAAACAGAGGTGTGAGACAAAGGAATAGTAATAACGAAGAACAAAACAGTTTAATTGGAAATCATAAGTCACAGGGAGTGGATGCATCTGCGCCACTGAGAACGATTTTGAGCCATGTCACCAATTGTTTCCAACCATTGGTTTTTACCGTCCCGAGAACCCCAACCAGGAAGTCTACACCTTCCTACGTGGCTTAGACTGACTGTTGTGGATTTCATTGACTGGTGCCATGTTTTCGTTTGACCGCCACTAGCTCTTTACCAGCCTGGCCCTATATCAGCTAACACTGCCCGTCGAGGAAGGCGATGACTAGGCATACGTAATACATGTCCTAACCATCTCAGTCGATGTAATTTCACATTTTCGTCGACTGATTTCCCCTCCCCCCTTACCTAGCACACGACGCCTAACCTCAATATTGCTCACCTTATTATACCACTTCACGCGGGAGATAGAACGCAGACACCTATGATCGAAGACAGCTAATCTTTTTATGTCTTCTGCTCTCAATGGCCAGGTCTCACAGCCATAAAGGAGGACGGAGCGGACTGTTGAGCAGTACACACGCCCTTTGGTCGATAGTCGGATATCACGTCTACGCCAGAGACGGCGTAAACTAGCATATGCGAACCTAACCCTCTGTATTCGTACTGAGATTTCGTCAGAGATCAATGTCATTAATGATACAACTTTAACCCACTTTATTGTTGTAAAGCCTGAATAGTTCAGTCAACGTTACTTTGGCCAAAAAACCTGGTATTATTGTACGTGAGTTATTAGTAACTGCCTTACAGCTCCTCTCTTTTTAGTGTCAACGTCATTTACAGCGCCAATCACACTAAACATTGTGATCTGACAGATTTTAGTTTCTAAAAAAATTGGTAATGAAATATTGAGAAGAGAATTCCAAGTGATGGTTTGTAGGGATTTAGATTTATTTCAATTTTGATCACGAATTGACTTCATTTGAGGTTGCTTGAAGTTCTTAGTGGAAAGTGGTGATCATCAGAGTCCACCATGAGGACAGATACTTACCGATAGCATTGACAGGCAGTCACTCAATATATCGCGAATCCGCAGAAGTCAGAAATAGTAAGCCATTGGATTCCATCCCAGTACCTAAATGGTTTACGACCTCGCCTTGTAACCCTAAGGTCCTGGGTTCGAACCCCAGCGGGCTCATCCTGATGAAGAGCTCAAAACTAGGACGAAACAGTTATCGAAAACTCCATGGTTTCCACTGGTTTTCTAAATGAAATGAACTAGTGATCGAAACCGAAAGAGAATTCCATCTTCAATACTTCTTGGCTTCCAAACAGCTGATTTTATCCCACAGTTTCGTATTCCTAAACAGACATGTTTATTTCAGGATAGATACGGAATTCAGTAGCTACGGTAATAGATTATTAAGCACAACCATATCAAGGGGTTGCCTAGAAACTTATTTGAGTGAAAAGGACTTAGTATTAATGTAAATTACTTATTAGTGGCTAATAGTAGGATCCAAGAGAAGGGCTCCTTTCAGTCAGAAAGTTGTTAGATAGAACACTGGATTGCAATATTTCTATTAAAACTTGTAGACCTCAAGGATTAGAAAAAACATTGTCCAGTAAACTATAATCCAACCAAATATTGACACCTAAATATCATTTAAATCAAATCTAATGGGGATAATTGAATAATCTTCATTTAGTTGATTACTAAAATGTTGTCCTAGAACCAAAACCAGCATAAAATGATAATATTTGTATATGTCAATTTTGTTTTTTCCGTTGTTTGACTTAAACAATAACTGATACCCGCTGCGCAAGAGATGGATCTCGTAGTCTAGGTGGTCTAATGGATAATGCTTTGGGGTTTGAAACGATGGGTAGTGAGTGCGAATCCTAAGGGGGACACCATTAATCACTGGGGACTGCAGATACATCCAGATGACAATTCCCAAACAGGACGAAATGCGCATCAAGTAACGTATAAACGGTAATAATTAGGAAAAGAAAAACATAAATCTAATAAACTGACCTGATATGTAAAATCTAAAGACAGTACTTTCCCGTCAGTATGATAGTTTTCGCCTAAGGGATAAACAGCCAATTGCGTTTTAGCGTCAATCACATGATCACATGAAAAGGTGACTATTTGACTGGTTAGTTTACCAGCTGGTAGAAAGATTTGTTCAATGGCTTCAGCAAAGGGTTGCATTGTACCACCTACTAGAAGAACACATCTTGCTTCTTGTACTAATTCTGATTAAATTAGGTGAAAAAGAAAACAATAGCAATAACAACAAAAATAGTGAGGATAATGGTTAGTGACAACCATTATTGCTACGAAGTATTGAATTATCTGAAATGGAATTACAATTCTATGCAATTGGCAATGAGGCACACTTGTCGTGTTAGGGCTGGTGATACAATCTGGCTACCCAAACTTTGGTAGATGGAGGGGCGTTTGAACCCACAACCCGCTGGTTGGAAGTCAAACGCCTAGATCAATAAGTCAGGGATCTATACTAAACTATCTCTCCACCAAATATCAGTTGGTTGATTTCAATGTAATAGGAAACTCCAGATTAGAGTCATCTAACCAACGAACTCTCTCAGGCTTACTTCGTGTTCGGACAACTGGCGAATCTACATTGTGCTTCATAGCTTAGTACACTAAGAACCATGTACCGGGAGTGTTTGATTATTTTACAAAAAACGAAGAGCAGTTTACTTGTTTTTTCTTAAACATCGCTGTAAAATGATAACGTTTTATTGACAGTTCCGTTTACGCATTGGGGGATGACGACAATATAATCTACTGAAAAATCACTAAGATCATATGTTCGATATTTTATATACTTCATTTTCATAACTTAAAGGCTACTCTTTTGGACAGGGCATCTCAATACTTACTTTTACATTGATGGATAACCAGTAACTTAACAACCAATGTAGAACACTGCAGTCATAAAAAAGAGGTGAATTCTGAACCCGCATCTTTCATTGATAACACCTCTGACTACAGCTCTAGGTGACCCAGGTCCGACTCCCTTTGGTTTCTCGCTAAAGAGCTCCAATAAGCACGAGACTTAGGTCAGGACATCTGACCTACTGCTTTCAACTACGTAATGACATCTGAATGATCTTTATTTTTTACCATTGGAATAATCCTATTCTTTACCATAAATTACCTAATCATTTGTAATAGAAATATTAAAAATGTTTGATTATGTAACGTACCCAGAAGGAAAACCAATAATGACAATAGTATAGGTGGACTTTCGTCCTGAATCGGAATAATATAAAGAAGCATTAGACATTGGAAAGTATGTTTCAGAAGTATGGAACGAAGACAGTTATCATTCACCTATTGGAGTGGAAATTCATGTCACGATAAGGGATTTAAACCTGAGTGGGGAAACCTCATTGAACTTCTGGATCAACATGATTAACCACTATGTCATCATCATATAAGAGGTGTATATAAATTGGATCTATATTAGATAGTTGGAGGCAATCGGCAGGAAGCCTTGGACCTAGGTTTCGTGCTAGTTGGCTCTCATCAGCAAGGCGTATCTGCAACCCTGAAGGAACTCATGTCCCTTCTGAGTTTCGAACCCGTGTCACCCAGTGCTGCAGTCAGAGACGTTACCAGTGAACAATTCGGGCTCGTGATTGACCTGACTGATAGAATTCAGTCTGCACCAAAGAAGGACTAGATACGTCACACTAGTTACTAGTGTCCAATTAAAATTGGATCTATCCCTTAAGTGGAGAAAAGAGACCATTCACCGGATGATTCCACTAGTTGAAATCCTATTAAATTCATTAGTCATAGAAATTTCTTGTATTAAAAGTGATGTTAAACTTAAAACATTTAAAAAAAGCTTTGACTACCGAAATACGAATAACTTAATTCTGTGCACCAGGTGTACATCTCACTAAAAGAAGATGTTTTAGTAGAAATAAACAATTAGAAGTGATTGTTTTATCTCATAACTTCAGTCAGTTTTCCATTAAAAAAACACATTGCGCATAAATTACTAGCCAACAGCCTGCAAACTATCAGCAGCAGCTGCCATCGCTCCATACTAAAGATCAGATAGCCAGAAAGGATAAGCGATAAGGAACTCTGGTGACGAACCAATCATGAACCTACTGCCCAACAGACATACAAAAGGAAATACAGATGGACTAGTCATATGTTGAGAAGACCGTTGAGTGACATCATACGCCAGGCCATTGAGCGGAAACCGAGTTGGAAACGACCGGTTGGGTATAGGATAGGTCCAAGGGTAACATAGAGGAGGATATGAGAGCCTGAACCGATCATTGATCTAGCTTCGAAAGAATCCAGAAAACAGGGTGAAGATAGCCATGTGCTACTGGAAACTTATTGTCCACCAGGAAGTCAAGGGAATAATAATAAGATTGCATGAATACACACTGTAACTAATTTAAAAACGAAATTCACATAAAAAACAGGTTGAAGAGCAAAATTACAAGCAAAAACAGGCAGAGTGAATAAACAAATAAACAATAAAAAACAAAATGCCATGCGAAACTCCACCCAGATATAAAATTTTGAGATTGAAATCATTTGTAATAGGGACAGTTTCTAGTTATGCACGTAGGGTGTGTATGTGTGAAGGTGTGACATTAACAGAAAGATAATAATTTGAGAGAGAAATAACTGAATTTCACATGCCCCTTTGAATTTCATTTCAGGAAATGAATAATCACATCAACATTATGAGACCTGACTGTTTTAACCCGAATTGTCTTCAGTGAATTTCAATTTGAAACACAAACTTGATACAATGCAGGCATCAAACGTTGCTGCACACAAATACCACGAAAGAAAAGATAGAAGAATGATCGAGGAATAGTATCATGAAGAAACCAAGAATACTTATCAAGAAAGATGCTTTCAAAAGAGAGGAAATCTCAGGATGTTCAGCCATTGATTTTAATTTCCAGTCATATCTGGTAAGATCTCAAAGCCACTGATTCGGATAATCTCAAGGGCCACGATAAAAGAATCATGATGGACCAACAGATGTTAACTAAGCACAGCTATGCTCCAATCTATGGTGCAACATCATGGGCTGACTATCCCTTCACCTTTTCCACCCAGTCTCAGGGTGAAAGGTGTGGGAGTCCCTAGGATGACACTTCGAGCACACGTTCAAGCCCACGAAGACCGTGTTCCATGATGACTTAATGCAGGACAACCTGCATGATGTCCAGAGACTTCAGAATCACTTAAATGATGGTGCAACATGATGCTATAAACTTGAAGATGCAGCGATGATCAAACAGGCAGAGTCAGTATACATCTTCAACTAAGAGAGACCAGGTTTCATAGGCGTACAGCAAGACTGCATACATTGAAGCATTTTAAACCCGACCTTCGATAGTCAAACTAGCGTCATGAAGGAGCCAAAAATAGTTCAAGTTGGCGTATGCTGCCCTGGTTTTCATTATAAGGTAAAAAAATTTCATCCGTCACAACTCCGTCGTTACTAACACAACAGACTAGACACACAAACAGATTAAATAATCGTAGCGATTTCCTTGCAAGGGTGTGCGCAGATAAAAGTTACTGCCAATATTGAGATAATAATTTGCACATACCGTACTTACAGACACTTTGTGCATAATATTATGAAGACGAGTTTTGAAAGATGAAAAATCAGCCATCCAATTCTGGGAAAACAATGAACTTTTATGTTAGTTTTCAGACAGATGAATTTAATGTGACGCCTATATATCAAGGATATATGGAATGCTTTTGGTCACCTTTATGCATTAAAATAAAAATTCAAATATATAGAGCGATTAATGCTTCAAAGAGTTTTTATTTCTTGTCTTGAGGTGTTACATTTATTCATGATTACATCCTTTTCATTTTTCGTAGTGATCAAAGATGCATTCATATATTGGTTCTACAGCGCAACTGTAGAGCACACTATTCACTATCAGCCTGACAGCTGGTAAGAATTCCCTGAGGCAGAATTCATGCTTCTTAGCTTTAAGAAAACTTGTAACGGCTTACAATGTCTATGTCATGTTAAGAAATGTATACTGGAAAAGTCGGTGAATAAATCACTAGAAAACAAGTTATTTTTATTTAATTGAATTTTGGCTTTGGCGTTTGAAACCATGGGCACTGGGTTCGAGCCTCGGTGGGAACATCATCACTCACTGAGAAATGCAAGTACATCCAGCTGACGAGTCCCAAATAGGACGAAATGCGCATCCTGAATTCCACTGCTAGTCATCATCCACCAATTAAATAACAAGTTATTTTGCCTAAAATTAACTAGGAAAGGAACTGCTTCTTTTTTTAAATATTAAAAGTATTTGCATGCATTTAAAGCTACAATTGTCATTCAATCATTGTGAAAATTATCTCGTGTTGATTCAAACCCTAGTGCTATGAGTTTATACTTATGTGCATGCACACATGTTTACATTAGAAAGAGATTAGTAATATTGTTTCCGAAATAAAAACATCTTAACTTACACTTTGAAACACACAGAGTACATCGCTAAATTCACTATAATGCTGCTACATTCACATGACTGAATACAAATAAACCGACAGTAACAATAATAATTATTATTATTATTACTATTATTATTAGAACAATGGTTTAATTACAGCATGAGATGTTTAAATTTAATTCCAGCGACATTTGAAGTCATCATGACAAAAATTAAAGAATATAAGCTCTTAGTGATCTATGCAAGGCATCAATCGAATTGAATTTGTATGTAACGTGATGTTGATATAGTGTGTACTACAATGATCAAGTTATTTGACTGTAATAGACTTTAAGCATCATCTCACTCACGGATCAAGGCATCACGAGAAATTGAAGCCCACTTCATCTATTGATATTTTAAGAAGAGTAATGATAGTCATTAGATTTCACATAAGAGAGATGTGATTCATCATTATTTATTATTGTTATTCCCTTGAATTAAGAGTGGAATACATCGCTTTAATAGCACATATCTCTGTTTCACTCTGGTGTCTGCAGTCTTTTTAAACTGGCCACACGATTCCCCATTAGTTTTCGTTTCCCTGCTACATACACAATCTCTTCCGTATCCCCCTTCCGATGCCGAACTCGTCGTTTCCCGTTCTGGTTCCAATCGAGGGAGTGGTGTGCGATATCACTCAACAGTCTTCTCAGAATATGTTCAATCAATGTCTCTATTTCCCCTTGCCTATCTGTTGGGTAATGGGGTTATAGGTTAGTTCGTCATCAAAATTCCTTGTTGCTTATCCTTTCTCGTCATCTGTAGTGTGTGCTGGTCATAAACTGATACAAGTATCTGACCATCTAATCTTTAGTATCGAGCAAAGGTGACTATTGGTGAAAGTTTGCAGTAGCCTGTTGGAAATGCTTTCCGTGAGGCGCGAAGTCACTTTTTCAGGGCTTAGAACCAGCCAGTAAACTAGGCGAGGTTAATTTACTTAATATATATATAAGTATCCTGAATGATATTGTATTTGTTTGTTGAGTAACATTAGTTGAGAAGTTGATAGATTTAATTTTACTATAATTATAGTGGTACTGCTTATCGATGTAATTGAGATAGTTTTTTTCACATAATTAACAACTAATATATGCGGTGTATGTCAGCGACGCCAAGTATTAGCATAACAATTTTCATACAACTGGTTCTCTTGATAAACTAGACCAATTTCCAACTCTAACTGTGTTTATGAATTCATATGCACATGTGGTGGTAAGCACCCGGGAGGACCGAGGGAAGGTTGTCTGATATGGTTCTTGAGTCCGTGCCTATTAGCCTACGTCTTAGAGATTCCAATCCGTTAAACAGAGTCATTACTCAGTACCTGGATGATATAGGACTCTAGATCAACACCAAAAAAAATCTTTTAAGGTGGCGAATAGACAAAGCACTCCACGACTAATTCACATTGCTGAAACTGTGATCATACGAAGAGTGCAAAAAGAGACTGTTACTGTCATTAACCACTGACTCTTTCGCCTTAACTCATCGAAATTTCTTTTAATGTTTTATGACGCAACTTGATATTTGCATTCATCTTTTTTTACTGATTTCATAAATCCCTTGTGACCTTTGACCTTTTATATTTCGTCTGGATAACTTTTCCCTTGGTTATCTAACCCTTCCCACATATGTGTGAATTACCCTCGAATATGTACAATCAATATACATGAGATTTAAATGTACACACCGAAAAACGTAAACAATTTATTATTTCCTTAGGTTCCAAGTGGAACATAGGGCTTCAGCAGCACATCTCCGTTTCAACCTGTTCTCTGCAGTCCTTATTTCTGGCTCCGCTATAACCCATCTTCTTCACAAGATCTATCCCATGCTACCTCCAGAACCACGCCCAACTCGTCGTTTACCATTCGAGGGCCTGTTGTGTGATGTCAATCAATGGTCCTTTCAGCGCATATTTGCAAACGAACCGGTTCTTGGTGGGTTTGTTACCATAGGTCTTTGTTGCTAATGCATTCCGGCTATCTGATCTTTAGCACTGATCGAAGACAAATTTGATAAAATTCTGAAGCCTGCAGAGAATGCTTTCCGTGTTGTGCCAAGTCTCTCAACCATACATAAGAACTGACTTGACATCAGTGTTTGGAATCCGAATCTTCTTTTTTATGCTTGGTGCAGCAGATTTCCACACTGATTTCAGATTAATGAAGGGTCTGTTTTGCCTTTCCGACCCTGGTTAACTTTGATACATTTATCCGTGTCGCCTACAGTTGAAAAGATGCTGTCTGAGTAAGGGGAAAAAGTGAATTCCTTCAAATTTCTCCCATTGATGGTGATTGGTACATGTTGTTGGTTGGTTGTCTTCATCACCTCTGTCTTCGCTGCTCCTTCTGCCAGCTTGATTTTTTCCGATAGATCTTCGAGTTTTTATGACACTAGACACAAACTATTCGCGAAGTCCAGTTTTTTTGTAGGTTCAATGCATACCTGTCTTCTCGCTGCTCAAGGTCTAACGTTACTACGTTTTCTTGGTGTAGTTTTAGTTGACAAGCGTCATCAGTGTATGTCAACTTTTCCAACAAATATAACATTGGGATGTAGTAAAATAAACCTTGATATACGTGATCATTTCTGCCTACTCCTAGTTGGAAGCTTTTTGGTGCATTTATCGTACTAAAGGCTGAAATTTTATTCTCCAGGGGTGCTGAGCCACGACAGTAGCTACCTATGTGACAAGTAGTAGTCATTATTGTCTTCGCCTTACTGGACGGAAAGCACTGATCACTGTTTTCTAGGTCATAATACTAACATATGCCGAAAAATATTGTTCAATAAAACAAAACAACAAAGGATTACAAATTTCAGTGAATAACCCACTAAATATTTGTATAAGACATTGAAAGGGATGAAATAAAAGTGAAGAAAATTAAATATCTTTATGGTTAACATGTTTAAGAAATTTCAATCTTCAAAATTGAGGCATATCAAATACAATTAATTCAAATTACAGAACTTCAATCTGCTATTTTTAAATAGAAAGAAATGTTGTCACCACATGTGTGGATTAGTTGATACTGAATTATACAATATTGTGAAGTGATGACTAGTGAATCAAGCGTTAGAACTTAACTTGGTTTCCCGAAGTTTTGACACGCAAGTAGTACGAAAGTCGCTAAGCGTCGGTAGTTTAATGGTACATAGCTCACCAATAACACGGGTGGTCAGAGTTCGATTCCCGGCCAACAAACTCCTAAACTTACTATTGTTTACTAACAGATGGTAAGTCCGGGAACGAGGTAAGGTTGGGTGCGAGTCTGGTAACCTACCCTGCAAGAACAACACCACCAATACGGAGACTTTGAAAAAGCTTGAAGCCGTATGTTCCACTCGAAACGTAAGAAATGAAAAGAAGAAAGCCACCAATGAGCGGCTACTGAGTTGCATCAGAAAAAACCCCTACCTTTTACAAATGATCACAAGAAGTGAACTAAACCAAAATGAAAATATCATCTGAAGCCCATTCAAGTGCTCAACTCACCTTTTAAATACCTTCCAGGATTTAAAAATATTACACTGATGCATAAATCTTGATTATCTTTCGTAATATTGACATTCGATGAAGTAGGCAGACCAGACTCAGATGTTGTTATATCATCAGCCTTTGTTGAATTCTTGACTAATTCAATAACTATACGTGCATCTTCTTCACATTGGGCTAAAGCCTGAAGAAATCTATGGAATTTAAATAAACTAGAACCAATTCCTTCAGATTTCTCGATATCCATTTTACATCTTTTATTCGCAATATTAACCTTAAATATAAATTTAAACAGAGAGATATTACGTTAATAATAGATTACTTGACATATATAGAGTAGTAATGTCACTTATCACACTTGTCAACTATACAAGTGAGATGGAATTCCAATACGAGGAAGTGAATGCAATTGTCAAAACATCAGCGAATGTGAGATATTGAAAGAAGCAAACGAAAGACAATAAAAACAGCGTATTTTGAATGTATCTGTGGTATTAATAAGCTTCCATAAACGAACTGGGACGACTAAGGGTAGCTAGACTTCGGTCTTCCTCTCAAAAAGTTATCACGTGGCCACTCGTTTATAGCCTCTACCAGATAAGTCCTATCCACTGCCTTCATGTACAGGTGTGTTAATAATAAGAGTGAAAGGGCGAAAGTGAGGGTCTGGAGTCTACCTAGAGGAGCTGGAAAACCCTGATTTCAACCCAGTGGTGTATATGGGCCCCAGAATCCGAAAGTATCGAATAGCATATAGACCCGTTTTGATCACCGAGATCAAAGGAACCCAGCTCCACTTTCTTAAGGAACACACTTCAAGTCAAAGGTTCGGGGAAGTGGCTTCTTAAGACAACCACTAGCTTCGGTTTAGGCATCTCGGCAGTATCACGGCTCTTGCACAAACTGTGAGATTCTGTGCGGTGCATCTCCCGGTGCTCTTAATGTCCCAAGTTCGCGTTTTAACAATAATGATAATAACGTGACATTAATATGCATTATGATCTATATTACCTGAAGCTTTTAAAAGTGTTTCGCCTGTTTCACAAGACCGAAACTAGTAAACGTACATTATCTTTTACGCATAAAACCAATAATTCTACACTCTTTGAATCGATATCACATCTGATGACACCTTAGATTGTGCTAGAATTGTATCCTACAGTAAATAATACAGTAGGATGTTGAAGATGATAGACTAAATGATTTCAAGGACTTGATTTATTCGATTTTTTCTGTAGCATTATGTGAGACAGATGTAAAAAAGAAGCCTCATGCTTGGTTTTCCTTTAATGAACTTAAAAAAGCAAACGTTAGCAACAAATAAAATAGGGTTGAAACATAATCATTTTATTTCACCAAAAACCATTGATGTCGCCTATTTTACAATCTGAACATTCAAAGTGAATAATGCTACTCTTCCGACAAAATTCTAGATTGCAAGATGAATGCAATAGAATACTGGTTAACAATATCTGTTGTCTATATTTTATCCAGGTTGTAAACAGTTGATAAATGAATAAATGAACACGTTTCCGGTGTTATTGTATTTTTTCCAGACGGACAAATAGACTGTGACCTTTATTTCAAATAATTCACTGAAACGTCTTCTTTCATTAAAAAAATATTTGCAAAAATGAAAATAGGAACAATGAATTATTTAGAATATTTTTAAAGTCTCACTGATACAAAAACAGATATTTTCAAGAGTTTGGTTTGTAAGGATTAGATTTGTTTACACGAGTTTGACCACGGATTGATATCAGTTAAAGAACCATTGAAAACCAGCACCGGAGTACTGGACAGCTGTTTCATTCTAGTTTGGGAATCATCGGGTCCGAACCCAGGACCTTTCGGTTACAAGGCAAGCTGGCTCGTATACCATTCAGCCATTGGGACCCGATTCAATGTCCCATGAATTATAATTTATGTCAATTCGTGATTTAGCGCGACCAACAACCATCCTTCCTCACACTTGACTGGATGGACCTTACTGGTCAGGACTTCTCACTAGAACTGCAGGAAACTCTGTCCTGTAGCAAGTCACCAGCGAGCATCAGATTAATTTTCAAGAGTTCGGTTTGTACGGATTAGATGTTTTATTATTATTATTATTGTTACTAATTTTACTCGCTAGACAGCTCAGAATTACATTATACAGGAGGACTGAGATCGAGTTATCACATATATACGCTGAAATTCTAGTTTACGATTACTTTAATAGACTTATTACGATTACGGAGTGAGACCGAGTTCGAATCCCAGTAAACGTACTCCTTAACTTCGCCTATGTCACTAGACTATGGTGAATCTAGAATTGAGAGAGGAGTTGGGTGTGAGGCTAGCAGCCTTACAGCTACTGAAATTTCAAAGTTTAAAGCCCTTTATTCTACTGGAAACTCACGGAATGGAATAAAATCAAACTGTGAAACGTCATTCAACCAAAAACCACATTTTTTTTCTTTTTACTGATAGGGGAATACAGATATCTAATAATAATGAAAATGGACATCATATGCCTAATGCCTAGATGTTCTTCAAACCATTAAAAAATGTGTATTTGATTTGGACATTCACACTAATGATAACAGATGTTTTGTCTATTCGATTCCCTATCTTTGCAATATAACGTTTTCAATATGTTGTTCTATCTCTAAGCAAAATAATTAAAAAAAGATTAGGTTAGAATCTTTTGCATTCTAAGGAAGACATGGCTTTAATCATTAGTCTTCGAATTTTCGGTGGTGTTTGTGGTATTCACGCTCCACACTCCCTCTTTATCGGGCTTGCTGCTGGTTAGGCGAGTGTGTCGACTGAGAATCGAACTCGAGAAAACATGCGTAGGTAGTAGGCATTCTACTCTTCAAGCACCGACGCATAAATAATCACCCCTTACTTAGAGTATATTGCTTCAACGCATTGAAAAAGAAAGTCCAATAACAACTCACTTGATTGACATCCTCCAGTTCGCTTTTATCATCACCAGTATATTTTCGTTTCATACTAGCTAAAATATTAGTCAGCTGTGAATTCGATGTTGTCCTCTGCTGAATAGACATATTCTCTGATGAAGAATTCGTCTGTTTTATTCGTCTATTTGACCATTTCGAGAAACCAATCAATTTCATAATAAAATGTTGATATTCTAAACAGTCAGTAAATTCACTCACATTTATATTATCTAAATTCGATTCTGAATATAACTGATTCACCGTTTTAATGATAATATTGTTAGATGAAGTCATCACGGAGGAATCTGCAGACATTGATGTTTTCAGCATATTTTTATGTATATTGTTTAAGTATGCCTTTAATTGGTGTACAAAGTGTTTCATTTGACGTAATCTTAAGGCTAGAAATGTTGACAATCGTGAACGATAATAATTTAAATAATCAGTGAACAGCTCTTCTAATCTGTACAGATCATTTATCAGCAGTAAATTCACTGACATTGATGATGCCATTGCATCTAACAGATTATGAGCTTCATCAATAATGATAATTGAATTTTTCAATTTTAAACCAGACGTTGAACGACTTGATGACTGTAATAACAAGGAATATGGGACTAAAATTAACTGAGCCAACGGTATACCCTTACGATTAGCATAATATGGACAACCGATATGAAAATCTAACGGCTGCAAATCTTCTGTATCGCCTTTACGGTGATTATTCAGAGAATTCTTATTACTGTTCATGGGTTTCAATGTACGAGAAGGCTTAGTCTCTTGATTATTTCTTATAATGCTGGTTACATCCATAGCTGAATTGCTGCCTACTAACAAATAATTAGCTAAATTATTTACGGCGGATAAATTACGCATTGGACACTTGAATTTTTTAATTTGTTTTTCATCACGATTACGCGGCCGATTTAATTCAAGGCACGCGATATTTATTAAATCAGAATGTTTTAATTCATAGACTTGTTTATTTGTACATAATAAATATCTTGATGATAGCTGAATCATTGTGACTTTATCAAACAGAGTTTTACATTTATTAAATTCTTTAGCAATTTGTCCCAATTGTGAATGTGTACGACTACAATAAATGATACGGAGTAAACCGTTGTCTGGCTGCTGTTTGTTTTTGGAATACTGGTCAAATTCATTTTCATTGGCGTTCAACTCATCTATGTCTTCAAGTAATTGAAATTGTTCTACTTCTGGTTTCTGTTCACACAGAAATAGATCATCATCAGCGTCTACAGCATCACAATCCTCTTCGCTAGTCACTTTGATAAAATTCTCCAACTTTTCAACGTCAACAGTTTCAGAAGTACTTTCTAGTTTTTTAACTTTCGATGGAGAATCAGTAAGTTGTAAGGTTGACAATGATGAAGACGGAGTCTTGGTTAGTTTGATTTTCTCAATCAACTGTAAACTAGACTGGTAGACTATGAGATCTTCAATTTGTGGTTCAATCTGTCGTTTCAATTGACGATTTACTTCAAAATCTTTTATCCAATCATCAACAGTTGTATTATTATTCTCTTTGTTATTCTCATTTGAAGTTGTCATTGATTTTATTTGACTTTGAAGGTGATCTAAACGCAATAACTGTTTTGCATTATAATCTAATAGCCAACGTAGTGATGCTGTTAACAGACTGAGTGATTTACCAGTACCAGTAGGACTTTCAAATACACCACAAGAAGTTGTTTCAAGTGTTTTATATACAGTTTGCATCAATTCTAATTGTTGAGTGTAAGGTTTAGGATAAGGGAAATCAATGAAATGGTCAGGTATCTTTGGTATTGACGGTGTATTCTCCACTGGCAATCGATTGTTCACTGTAATATTCTTAGCCGGTGAAACTGGTTCACTGACAGTGTCAGTTCCTGTTGATACAGCATTGATTATGTCCAATTCCATGAGACACTGGTCACCAAAGGAATCATTATAGAAGTCATCCATTGCGTTTCCTTAAATTGATATGTACGAACAGGTTAGGCAGATCTGTAGAAATAACATAATACTTAGTTAGGCATATAACGAAATAAACAGATTTTCATGAATAAAAATCACATGTATACGGTAAAGGTACCGCTTATATGTGGATAATGGATTTGAATGAAGTTACTGGTATTAAAGCGGTAACAGACAAACGCTTAAAAGTGACATTTTCTCAATTCTTTCTGTTCAAATTGGACCCTTAAGGCCTCCATCTTTTGAAGTTTCAGTATCGCTGGGCGCGGTACCTAACCTTCCCTCTTTTCTAAACCTACTGTAGGATAGTAAACTAGGCGACGTTCAGAACTGCATCAGCCAGGAGGTAACTCCGAATCTCTTGTGTGGCAGGTGAGCATTCTACTGTTGAACTAGAAACGCATAGAGTGACGCACAGATGCGATTTTTTAGATATTTATTTTAAGTAGGTGACTAACTCGAAAATCTTTTCTATAATATTTGTTTGCAGGAAAATTTAGACACAAATTAATGCTGCTGCTGGATTCAACACAGAACTTGGCACCGAAGTGCAGCAGTTCGAGTTGCCACGTTCCAAATAGCACACAAAGGTAGACAAGAAAATGAGAGAAGAGAATCAATAGAATTTAGATAAGTATAAAAGTGAAACAGAATGAGTAATGGTAGAAAGGAATATGAAAGGTTAAAGAGACTGAATACATCTGCGCCATTGACACCGATTTTGAGCCATGTCACCTATCGTCTCCAGCCATTGATTCTTAGAGTCCCGAGGGCCCCAACCCGGACACAAATTAATAAGATAAAATATGTATCTTAGAGTAGTAAATTGAATTATTTCTTTGAGATATCAACTTAAATTCTTAGCCGCACGTGTTGTGTGGGGTCTTATGATACTATAAAGATGCTTAGGCCCTGAAGTAGGTGGAGAGCGAGATCCGAACCCTATATTATGAGTGAAAACTAACCGATCATTTTATTTTTACCAAGCTGAAAAAGTTCATCGAAGAAACACCACGATTTTCATCAGCCTGACACAACTGTCATCTGCTAATGTTGTTTATTAAGCCATTCTTAAACTTATCATATCCTGTAATATCAATGAACAAGGAACTTCCAAATCTACTAGCCACGTGAGAAATGTGATTACTAGATGAAGCCACCTATTTATGTCTCGTTTTTATGAAATGAGGCAAAGATCTAAAGACTCAGCTGGAATAACAGTATATTATTTAGTTCACGGTCAGAAGCAGCGGAATTCAGTATGCAAATTCGTCCTATTTAGGACTCGTCAGTCTGAATTACCCGCATCCTCAGTGAGTGGTAGTATTCCCATTATAACTGGAGTTCTGCATTCATCAATTTTAACACCAAAGAGCTATCCACTAAGCCACGAGAGCTATCTGTTATGCAATGGGTTTACCTGCAAGTGTAACCAGCTTACGACTCCCTAATAGGGTGAAATACACATTCTAGACTCACCTGCTACCCACCATCAACCAAACAGAACCCTATTAATATTTAGATATCATCAAAGTGTCCATACTAGAAGCAGTATAACAGTCTATATGGTGAGTGAGCTTCTTTTAACATATTATTTGTGAAAAATTGTTCAGTGGTTTGTTTGGTAGGTGAATGACAAATATCATTACTAAACAGATTTGATTTACACATTCACCTTCTAAGAAAACTAAACTTCTCTGATGAGAATGCTGGTTAATTATTATCATTCAAAGCCAGGAATTTTGTTTAGTAAAAACCTAATTATACGTGGTTAACTAAGCATTGTATATATGTGCTTTCTCAAAGTTCATAAAAATTAATAAACGAGGTAAATTGTAGTGTCCCACATTCCCATTAGACAAGATACGTCTGATTTAACTTCTCTGTTGTGGCTTTCAGTTACTTAGGTCAAAAATGTCTTCTGGAGGTCATCAGGTGAATGAGGATTTACAGAATTGACGAGATACTCAAACTAACGGAATTTGATACGGATAAAAATGGCCACTTTACTTTCAAGAGGTTCCAAATATTAATAAAACACCATTTTCCATTACCGAAAGAGACCAACAGATAGCATATATATATACAATACCACTGTTAGATATCCTAGCTTCTTTCTACGATGAAGAAATCAATACCGAGTAATTACACAACTCAATGATATGCCATACGTAGTGTGACAAGAGTCTACCTAAAGTCAATACTATTGGCACATGCACATAAATCACTTTAAAAATTCTACAGAGACCAAAATAAAGAACTTCGATGTGCAAGATGTAATCATTACTTGATGATGTTTGCCTTGAAATGCCATCTTCATGTCTCCTAAAGATTTTATCCATAAAATGACTATCAGTTCGTAAATCAAATTATTGATAGTTTAAATGTTAACACACAATGCTAAATAATGATAATATCTACTTGTACAGCAAATATCTGGATTAGTCAACCAGCAATAGTTCCAACAATAGTCTATACTCGGGTAAATATGAATGTTAAGTACCATAACCACCATTATATGATCAACACGATGCGAACGGGCATCTAAAGTGATCGAAAACCCTCAGATTTAATCACGGAACTGACATTTCATGTATTGATTTATAAGCGTCATCAATCGGAATACATATGTATGTGAAACCTCTAGAAAAAATGGAGTTTTTAAATACAGTGGAAAATGAGGCATGATGAAATAATCAATTGGAGAATAAAAATAGTAGAGGAAATAAAGAAGTCCACGACATCTGGTCGGCTGAGTAGTCTTGTTTCAGTGAGTGTGTACATAAATACACATTCTGTGTGTAATGATTACTATTGTAGGAGTTACTATCCAACTGACTAAAAGCTACACTGAACAGAACTGAATAGCTGTCATCCAGTCAAATTAGATTATATCATGCCTAATCGATACATCAACTAACTAGACAACAACTTATCACTGAAAGCATAAAAAGCCAAAATAGGATGAATAATCAAAATAGCCTACAACAACATAATTCAGTTAACAGAATGATTAATCAAATCAAGTGTTTTTTTTTATTCAATGAATAATCTGTATATGGATGAAAGCCTCATAATAATCAGTAACAGGCAAAATATCTGAACGGATAGACGTCAAACTAAACAAGAAATGAAAGAATTCGAAAATCTTACGAATATACCTACCAGATTACAAGACTGGTTGTACTATCTTATTAAGGTAATGTTTGTGATTTGAGAAAGTTTTATTTCACAAGCACGAAATCTTACCATAATGCATTATTGGAAAAAGAAAAAAAATAGAAGTAGGATTCCAGAAATAGAAGACACATAGACTTATAAATCTTGTGGCTGACCAAATGAAATATAGTTAAGGCGAATAATTCGACACAAAGGAATACCCAACACAAAAATTACAATAGAAGATTCTTCTCGTGACGTTGGATGTTCGAAGGTGACAAAGAGGAGGCGAAAGTTTATAGGCAATCGTACAGCCAACAAAAAAGAACTGCAGAGAACAGGATGAAACGGAGTTATGTCCTACTCGGAATTCAAAGGAATAATAATAATAATAAGTAATAAAAATTACAGTAGATTTTACTTTATTTTAGAAATGCAAAGAAGACACAATACTTTCATTGTACACCAATGATCACTACTCAAGAGGTTAAAATGAAGTTCGCTTCATCTGAAAGCACAACATTGCGGTGTACTTATTATCTATGAAGAGAGGATACATACTTTGTAGCAATAGTCTGTAGCATTGAATAATTATTTTTGATTATCCCAGTAAAAGTTGTTTTACTTAGTAATTATCTAACAAGATCACCTTAAAAAAAATCACTTGCCACACCCTTTCTACCTCAATACCACTAGAATCAAATAGATGATAATATGATATAGAGGAGCAGTAGTTTAGGTGAGTGGCTATGATAGTGCAGTGATCACAGATCAAGTAGATTATCTGAATCTTTCTATGGTACATTTTCAATTCATTTTTAATCCTGACTCTAGGAAAATACGCCTTACTGACGAGTGCCAACTAGCACGAAATCTAGGTCCAAGGCTTCCTGCTGATTGCCTCCAACTATCTAATATCATCAGAAATATGTACTGTTTAACATGGGAAAAAAACTGATGAGATATCAACTTTTGAGCACTATGAAAATCACAAATTTTGTGTCAAACTCCATGAACTTTGAAAAATACGACTTATTTCAGTACTTACTCTTCTTATAATAAAATGATTCCACTGAATATTGACAAAAGTTTATTACTTCAATATTACATTATTAGTATTAGTCGGTATTACTGTTCCATTCATGTTATGTCTTTACATCTGCTGACAAAATCCCCTTTTTCCAACTTTTCTTTAAAATTAAAAATCTGTGTAACGCGAAATCCGATAGCGTCTTTTTGTAAAGTCTATTTTCCACTTAATTACCATCACAAAACGTTTTTCCTGTTTTCCAGATGATAAGATTGCCAGAAAGAATGAGAAACAAGGAAGTCTGGCAGTGCAACGAACCAAAAACTTATCGACCAGTAAATATGCAGAAGTAAATGATGGATGGACTGGACATACAGTGATGAGACCACTGAGTTATATTACATGTCAGGCACTCAATTGGAACCCGAATATGGCCCGACGGGTTTGCGACATGGTCTCGTGGGCGACATGGAGGAGACCATGAGGAAGGGGAACAGAGAACATATTGGCAGATATGAAGCCAGCTTTAAAAAACAGTAGAGAAGAGAGTGAAATGGAGATATACCGCTGATGAAGCCCTACCTTCCACTTTGAATCTTCAAGGGATGATTAATAATAATACTCCTTTTCTCAAAGTTGAGTTGATGTGTGATTCTATAGCTTTGTATGTTCACTAGTTTAATATTCCTTAGACTTAGGAATATACTACGCTTACATGTTGAGAATTTTTTATGATCCCTACAAGTTTATTTACTGACATTTACTACAAATTTTATAAACCACTAAGAGGTAGTAGGGACTGTCACAGCCTGCTGACTAGAGATTATCAAATCAAAACGAAC